ATCCACAGACTGAAAGCGAATGTTTCACCTCTTCACTGCTTTAACATCTGTAGACGGTCGTTCGTGCCTCTTACGGAATTTCGATATTTCGAACCATTTAATGTCCAGATTTCCAGACGAAGTCTAATGTGTTTCAAAAAAATATTCATTATTTAGAAAAATGTTAAATAGAACCCGCGACCCTTGCTTATTAGCCATTCATTTTTACCATTACACCAAAGAGGCCCGTATATATTTATGTGTTTATACTAAGTAACAGTAATGAACTTCCTGTGCGGATAACCGTCCATCGCTGTAACTTAGCCTATTATTTCTTTTTAAGTTATCGCAGTCACGACTGCCGTCGCCTCATTTTCGTAGCACATGACACATCTTAACCGATCTTATCGGAAGGTTTAAAAATATAACTGGCGCCGCACCGAGCGTGCATTTCAATGGATCCCTTTAGGAACCGGCACGACTACGAAATTCACGAATCGCCACGCGTGTATTGAATATATGAAATCTTATACAGGTGTTACAATTGATCGTAGTTGTCATAGTGCTTTCGACGGGCGCTCGGCGGAAGTGAGGCTTCGTGACTCCGGATCGGATGAGTTGGCGATTGTTTTTCGATTCGATGCGTGATCGATTATTTCACTTAACAGCTCTCGCGATAATAGCTTCATTAATGCTCGGGTTTTTAGAGCTCCGCGTAAGTCCGCGAGTCGTGCAAAATAAAGCACCGTGGTGGGCTTGTGGTGTGATAGCGATTCTGGGGGGGCGAGTGTCTCCGAGGAGATTGTAGTGCGTATTACCCCACTCTCCACGTCACTAACGCCCGACGTAGACGTGTATTAGGCATTCACACCAGTAAAAAAAGGTTCCCGCGTCCAAAAGGCCAAAGATAAGTACGAAGGGTTCTGAACGATGGACTTGGTACACAAATTAATGTAGTCTTTTTTACTTATTGTGCCCACCTATTATCCTTCATAGATACTGACCGAAGTTGACAAAATTTACGCTCACTTATCTTAAATATTTATTGTATTCCTAATTAATAATATATTATAATAGCGATAATTCAACTGATTATTTCATGTGGTTCTTGATAGGATTGCAAAACTCATGCTTTAAATAAAACACTTTTAACCTTTTAAAACGCGAAGTAATTAAAATTTATTTCAACTATAACCCGACAATTCAAAACGATCTTGATGGTGACCCAGGTGTAATTACTGCTTAAAATATGCATATTTTTGAATACATAATAAATATAATTATTATAGATTATACCTACGGACACACATCGTTATTAGTCGTCATTCGGTAGTCATGAATTATTACTTAATTTGCATGAACCGTACCTGTTAACGATACCGCGTTTCAACTTTCAACCTATTATTTTTAATGATTCGTGACTAGAGAGAACGTTTTAAAATCTAAGACCCACCACACTACAGTGGGGGTTAGCGGGCTATATACAAATGAAATTGATAGCTTTTATTTACGAACCAATAAACTTATCTTAAACAGTGTACAATAATATTTAGTCTCCTTATTAAATAAATCTTAAATTCTTTTACAATTTTAAGCTAAAAATAATAGTTTATATATATGTAACTAGTTAGGACTAATATTTAAATTAATTATAAATCATTGGGGTTGCTTGTCTTACGACATAGCATTGGGCTGTACAACTAATACATAATTACTGATGTTATCTGTAATCGACTAAGATGTGGGTGATTAAATTTTAGTACGGAGAATTTACTTTAAAAAAACCCATACTGAATTCGAACCCTGGACCGTTCGGTCAGCTATCGAATGTATCGGAGTTAATGACACGTATAGGAAGCAAACGATGCGACATCGTTGAGTTATGAAATATTAAAGGCATGGCATTGAGGGCGATCGACATTGTATAATTGCGATATAATTGTAGCATAAGGCCCTCCTTGCCTGATAATTAAGTTAACTTTAACATGCCACTTCCGATGTCAATTAATTTATACATGTATGGGCATGTGTTAAGGTCCTGTCTTAATATTAATGTGCCACGAAATCGTTCCGGGGAAAATTAACTTCATTAAATTTTTAACCACTTTTGCGACTGTTATAACAAATCGATCCAGTAGTACCTGTAATTCGCGCGTTCAAACAAACTCTTCGGCTTTAAAATATTTGTATAGATTGGTTTTAGGGTAATCCAATCAAAAAGTTACCAAATCATTCCTGTTATTTAATAGTTATTAAAATACGTTACAGGAGTTTAAACTGTATTTTAACTTAATTTTTCGTTGAATAAATACTCTAGATCTTCATAAATAAATCGTGGGTTCGAGTCCTGTGGTTCATAGTTTTGTGAAACACTTTCTGATGGTTTGTTTAATTTGTTCAGCTCTTAAATGCAGTAACTAAACACGCGGTTTGTGTTGTCTATAGAGTTTAGACGTCCTATAATTGAGGTCGGTTCGAATTCGACTGTAATTCTAACCGATTCGATACATAGTAACACTATGTTTCTACTATATCTACTATATTGTACTACTTGTATATTTATCCTGATGCATTCAGTAGGTCAATTACTTTAGTAGTAAATCAGTTAAATGTTTTGTATATTCAGTATGCATAAATCGATTTCACGTGCCTTCAATCTCATAACTTTCACGTAAATGTACTTCCGTGGACTATAGCTATTACAAAATGGCCGTCCATTTAGAATTAGTTCGCTAATGTCGAATCGAATTTCTGGATTAGACCGAACTAAATTTTAATTGGTTTAAACAGTGACAAAGGTTCCTATCTATTTTCTGTAATTGTAATAAAAACCACCTCCATTGATGGGCTCGTTGGTATAATGATGGTAAAGTAAAGCTGGGTTCGATGCCTAGCGTCCAATATTTTTCCAACAAATTTATAATTTTTCCAAAACATGTAGTCAGGCAAATTCCAATCAAAATATTTTCCTGACTATTAGGTAAACGTCCCTCAGCTGACCACATCGCGATTAGATTGCATCACGAAATGTCATGTGTTTTATGCAAATTCAATTTGTATGCCATCAGCCGATATGCCATAGTCTTATTTCACCTCGACACAACTTCTATTCTTTATTATCATTGTAAAAAAGTGGTCTAAACTTTTTAGGAACGAGATGTATTGGAAGCGACTGAATTTATTAAAAATTAGAATTATTAAAAAACAAAAAGCTCTTTGAATTTCATTCTAAACAATTCAATTCCATTGCGTTGAGACACTATTGATGTTTGAAAACTTACCGATATAATATAATATGTGCACATGATTATATTTACACGTGTGTTGATGCTGTAACCAATAGATAGAGCACGGAACGCTACGGATGCCGGTTCGAGTCCCGTTCGTGTCGTCAACATTTATCAATAAAAATAGATTTTTATTGAGAAATTTGCTCGCGTTATATCAAACTATATTTTTAAACCTTTGCTTTTTCATCAAAAAGCTTGCATTTCACATCAATTGTTATGCCATTGCATTATCGTTCTATCCTACACAGTGTAAGCAAAAAGGCTTTATATATCCAATTTGGGTACCGCTATTTTCTCACCCCGTTGCGTTCATATCCGATCGATAATACTTTAGCTATGAAATAGACTTCTAAAGTCTATATATTATGCAAATTCAATTTTTATGCCACTGCTTACCAACGTATAACACCTCGGTCTCTTTGACTCACACTAAGCTTATGTATATGCATATCCAGTTAGGTATTTTTTAAGCAGAAAGAAGTATTTCAACGTAAAATATATACTGGATCAACAACAGCTAACTTTTTACATATATATATATAATTGTAGTGTTATGCTATTATCTCTAAACTAAATTGCTTTATTATGAAAAACAAATATTGTCCCAACTATCAAAAGTAAATAAAATAATTATATTTCATTGTGACATTAATCATTATCTAAAGTAGTTACACCAAATTTCATTAAATAATAATCTACTTAAATACTGTCTGTAGTTTACGCATTTAAATAAAACAATTTACCCGTTCAAAACGCGATATATAATAGTAGTAGAGAGACACCGCGTGACCACGACTGCTGCGTAGCAACCCAAACTTCGGGCCGTAGTTAAAATAATTTTCCAACAAGTTTGACTAATATATGTAAGTTAAAGTGTTTTATTTAAATTATCTACTTACTCCACACTACATACACAAAATACATATTCGAATTTCAAGTAAATTTGCTTTTAATGAAATTAAAAATAAAGCTCAAGTCGTTTCCAACGAAAAGTAAGACAAAGGGACAAATTTTTTGCTTATAAAAAAATATTTCGCTTACATACCATGATTTAATATTTATATTTTGGATTGTAAATCACCTTTTGGGCGTTTTTATTATAATATGCGGACTAAGTTAGGTATGAGGTCATTTATCGCGCGTCTCCCCATTCACTACGTGAATAGATTATATCACAAATTGTCATACGTGCAAACAGCGCGTATTAATTATTGCAGTATGTTCTAATTTCGCATGTAAACACGGGAGGGTTGTATGACGTCACCGAGTCATTAAAGCTCTTTTCAGACTACGCGAACACGCAAAATATGCGCTATGCTATGTCACCCACTGTATAATATATAAACATATAGTAGAAATTGCAAATTGAAACTGCCTAGTAAACTTGATATTAGAATTATTTCATATTAATCCTGTCAATATATCTTCACCCTAAATAATTAATTACCCAGCGTATCATATTTTCGACTACCGAGGACAGCCGCTGTAACTTAATGGTTAAACATATTGCCAAGCGTGTGAAGTCTTGGGTTCGAATCTCGGGAAAACCATTTATTTTGTCGGTCGAGTAGGGCACAAAAGTCTGATCAACTACTTGCCTGTAAATGAAACCACTATTATCACTATATATTGTCGGTCAGACTTGTAAATAATTTGCGGTCCGCGATATCATTTGAACTGTGTGCACAGAGCCTAATATTTCCATGTAAACAGTCGCCGTATTGTTTCCAGCTCAATGCATCGCTCCGCTGGGCATGGAGAGTGGTTTGATCCCCGACAAAGACATTACTGCCAGCTCCTCGTTCAACAATGACAACGTGGCACCGCAGAATGGAAGGTAAATATCACGTTTTGTTGCTAATACTAATTTATCCTGTTTCTGACAAAAAAATAACAATAGCGAAGGATTGCTAGTGCCGGTTTAAGGCACTTTAACTGTTATTGATTTTTTAAATAAAGCACTTTTTACTGTCTTAAACTCGAAAATATTAACCTGTTGCTTATTTAGCTTCGACCCAAAGTTTTGCTTGAGCTTTTGTTCGTAATATCGTAAGTTAAAATTCTACAAATACGTTGTTCTTCGGCAAGATTTCCTTACTATCGCGTTACATGCATTATTTTTCCTTTTTTTACTAATTCTTGCCTCTCCAATGACGATTACAAACAATCAGATAACTTAAATAATGCCTGTAGTTTACGCGAGTAGTACAAATTTAAATAAAACATTTTAACGGTTTAAAACGCGATATATGTTAGTTAAACTTAATTGAGTATCCCCGTGACCACGGCTGCTAGCGCAAAGCATCCGAAACGTCGGGCCGAAATTAAAAATCATTTTCAAACAAGTTTATCTAATATATCGCGTTTTAAACCGTTAAAGTGTTTTATTTAAATGTGTACTACTCACGTAAACTATAGACAGTGTTTAACTTGTTGCATTTATTCGTGATTTACTTATTTCGCCATCTTATTGATATATAAAAACAATAAATTTTACATATTCATTAAATTTTGTCTGTACCACAATCAAAACCTCTTTGAAGTCAGCTCCTGGAAATATTAAAACGCTTGTTTTTAAATGTAATTTAATCATGACTACTGATCGCACAATATAATATTTCACAGAACACAATTCGAGAGTTCTTCGTACTAAATTACGTAAAATATAAAACGGGGACTTTGGCGTTTAGTAAAGTGTTCGCTATAAAATACACAGAGTAAACATACTGGAAAATAGAGCGACATACTAAAAATGTAGGAAACATAACCGTACTTAGTTACGTGTGTACTTAGCGACACTAATCTCAACTTATTAGTAAGTTCGCTGTACTTCACATACACAGTCCGTGATATTTCATAATGTTTTGACCTAATTCGGTGTAGAATGTTTTTTTTTAATATTATGCTACGGTCAGACAGACATTCAGTCATTTATAATTTAACTAGCTGGGTCAGCGACTTCGTCCGCGTATAATTTTGGCCATAAAATTTGATTTTGCTAACCTCCGGATTAACTGTATACATATAAACTGTTACCCACGACGTCGCCCGCCTTCCGTCGTTCCTATATATTAATCTTAAAATATAGATATATAGCGATATGTATATATTAAGAACGAATCATTCATTCCTACATATTTTTTGGGTATCTTGAATCATTTTCGCAGCGTGCGCAACGGAAACCCACAAGGATAAATCATTTTCCCCATTTTCTTTTGCCGCTGTTTTTTGCGCTCCTATTAGTCACAGCACACATGTTTTATAGCCTATATATACAACCTTCCTCGATAAATGCTCTAACCAACACAAAAAAAAATATATTTTTTTTATATATATTAGTATAGATTACTTATACCTCTTGAAGGATTACGACGTACGAGTACTTAGTGTAGCCCCAAGTTTATTAATGCGTTCATATAATATTTATATTTATCCTTTACCTTCAAAGCGTTATTTAAATTAACGTGAGATAATAATATGACGTTCGCAATGCGCTTTACTAAATGTTTGTGCGAGTTAATACTCGTATTTTAAAGTGTTTAATTTAAATTTAGAATTTAGTTTGAAAGTCCCTGGGAATGTTGTTAGTAGTAATTACGGATTGAGTACAGTCGCGGTATACATTAGTAAACTATTTATCTCGGATTGAGTACACTGTTCGCGTAGAATATCATTTTGGTCATCAAATTTGTTTATATCTATACATTTAAGCACGCGTCCTGACTTAAAAGCTATTCGTTATGTCGCGACTTTTTTAGATCATTTAATAGATGAATTATACTTTCCTATATATTTTTTGGGTATCAGCACGAATCGTATATACAATACAGAGATGAATAATTTTTCCCCATTTTTTTACACATTTCCACATTTCCCCCTATCTCTTCCCTTCTATTAGCCACAGCGTGATGTTTTATAGTCTATAACATTTCTTGATAAATGTTCTAACACAGAAAATGTTCAATACGAACCATTAGTTCCTGAGATTAGCGCGTTCGAACAAACAACCAAAGTGAAACTTTTGAGTAATATTTCCAAACGCTGAAATAATATTAACCCTCAGGTGTATTATGCAGTAGATACACACACCAAAACATCTAGATGCTAAATATATAACTAATGTCATCATTTAAAATAAACGTTGAAAAAACTTAATATAACTCTATTTTTGCACTTAACTGTACATCGAATACAGTTTAACACCGGGTGTAATAAATATTGGAAAGCCTTACACGTGAAAAAATCGATTCACCGGCTTAAATTGACATGCGATAGATTCTAATCATAATCATATCTGCTATAGCCTTCAATATTAGGGCGCGATATAACTAACTATTAATTTAACATGAGCTGTTAATTAAAATGTTACGAAACCTTCAAAGCTGATGATCCACTGATCTGCGTTGATTTAGATTGGCTTTAGCTTCAGAATTCGTTTCCCGGTAATCAACAAATTATCGTTATATAAAATTTTGTACATAAATATAAAAAAATATATATTTTGTTGAGATTTTATATGGCTAGGGTATTTTATCCCCATGTTGACTTGATGGAAGATCTGCTCTGTCTGCTTGCCTGTCGTCTTCTGCAAGATCTGCAAACTTCGTACTTAAAAAATGTCTTTGACATGAAAATTCTACCTTCATGTACGTATTTTTGGGCTCGACGAAATTGTAATAGTAATGACAATTGTTAAATAAAAGGTTTTTTAATTCTCGGGAGATATATTGGTAGGAATTATTTTATCTAAGCTCAATTGGTTAGAGGAAGAGCACGGGGCCTTGTGGATGCGGTTCAAGTCCTGCCAATGTCGTATTTTTTTACAATCTAAATTGATTTTCAGTAAATTGACTTCAGTCAATAATGACATTATTCATAATGTCACTGCGTTATGTATTCTCTATAATAATAGTAGAAAAAATCTATAAGCCGGTGGATTCGAACAAAAGCGATTTTTATTGTAATCCATTCAGCGTATGATTACGGTGTAAATGTTCAAATCAATTGCGTGCGGCTTTTTTATATAGACGTATACACGAATGAGTTATAGTCGCCATTATGACAAGCTAAGCTTTTATATGTTAGTAATTAAATAGTAACTATGCCGCTACGTTGGCATACTTTGAGCCCCTTCACAGAGCAACGACGGGATTAAATAGTTTGCAGCGAAACTCAGATCTTCAGAAATGTTTGCTAGGTTCTTCGTCATCTTGCGTATTATAAAAAGTTAAGCTTTAAAATCTCTGCAATATGTGTCTAATGAAATGTTACTAAGTTAACCTTTCGACTATACATATGTCAAGAACAAAGAAACGAATAAATTTTAAACACTTAAAATGCGAATGAAGTTGAGTAAATTACAAACAATACAAAGAAACGAATTAAGATTCGATAATAACTATTGTATCAAGGGAGGAACTGCTGTGACATTCTATTGGCTACTGCGCTCAACTATAGATCACAATAGGTTCGACACCTGGATAGGGCAAAAATGTCCGTTTCGAATATCGATTTTTTCTGAGAATAAGTCAAACCCCGTGACGTGAACTTACTTACTTACTAATTAGTTATCCACATTAACTAAGTGCTCGTCGTCAAAGTCCACAAACCCACTCTGGAGCAACGTGGTGGGTCTATGCTTTAAAACACCCAGCCCCTATGGGATATTTTTTATCTAGCTAAACAATGCAATTGATAGAAATTAAAAAAATAGGCTACCAACCAACCAACTCGACCAAAATACGATAGAACTTGTTTCTAGAAAACAGAACAACGCATATCGATTTTTTAATGACGGAAATTGATAAATGTGATGATTACAGACAAAAATTACCGCCACGACATCAATATTATAGTGGATTGATTACAAAATCCATATAAATTGTAGCGTATGTATTAATTCTAACGTACCAATTTTCACACTTGTTCGTTCAAATAAGCTTAGTTTGATGTAGTATATTTTAGTTAATAATCCTCTTTCAATCAATACGTTTAATAGGAATTACCTAAAGAACTTAAGTTTAAATTTAAGATAATTACTTATATTTGTTTTGTATAATATGTCGTGTAGTGTTTATTTGTAGTATATAAATTATATAAACATTTTTTTAAATTTTATGTTGCGCAGAGCACATCTCATCTGATTACTGAAGATATTTTCAGAAAAAAATACCTTAAAATGTTTTTACCACCATAATAATACAAAACCAGTTATAGGCGTAGTAGCGTATAAATTAATGTCAAAATTTTAAATTGACGTTCTTTAGTCTATGGTAGTAATTTATTGCTAATAATCAACGGGCCGCGGGTGTGATCCCTACGTAGCCAACATATTTCTAATCACTTTATAATATTTCTGAAACATGTTGGACTTCGTCTAGGAATCTATATTAGATGGGTGGTAGGTATATAAAATCTTGTCCGGATCAAAAACACCTTCCACAGATGAAGAAGCCGTGAAGCTATCGCCTTATGGTGTCACTCTGTGGATCTTTAGATATTAAAAACAAAATAGATCGGCATAGCATCTTGTTTAGATGTTATATAGCTGGGATATTTTACCTTCTTTCAAGTGTCTATCCTCATTTATTTAAACATGAAAGAGGGGATTGTTAGGCGGTACTAAGTTCGTCGGAACAACCAGTACATTTATAATACGAGATATAGAAACTATAATAAATACTATGTGTCATCGAGCTGTAAAGTTTGCGTTTACGAGGCGGGCTATAACGATTGCTATTAACTAAATCGACAATCGATATTGTACAGGATAGCTCGGCTGTAACTTCACGAAATATTCAACAGTTTGCTTATTAAAGTTTGGCCACGTCTAGCATT